AAAGCAGGGAGCCTGGAGAGGGGCAATCCCAGAACTGGGAGACCCCTGGGACCCCCAGGAGCCCGGAGAGGGGCAATCCCGGAGCTGGGAGACCCCCAAGAGTGGTGATCCCGCAACTGTGGGACCCCCAGGAGCCCAAAGAAGGGCGAGCCCAGAGAGGGTGGACTCCTGGGACCCCCAGGACCCCAGAGCGACGATCGCCCCACAGCGAGGGGACCCCGGCCCCACTGCCCCATAGCCCCCCGTAGCCCTCGGACACTCGGGGGGGGGCAGGAGCGCCGCAGAGCTCTCTTCTTCCCCAGCCCTATGGGAGCCCTTTTTGGGGTCGGTGGTCCCTGCCTCAGTTTCCCCTTTTGCAACCCAGGGCAGGGGGCTGGTTGCAGACCCTCACCCCTCTGGGTTGACCCAGGTGGTCCATCACAGTCCTCTTTCCCACCCACGGCTGGGTGTTGCATCGGGTGGTTTTGAGCTGAGAGCAAGTGATTTTGGGGTTGAGCCGCAGCCAGGGACGTCGCTGACCTTGCCCTTGCCCTTGTCCCCTCTCCAGCTCCGGTGGGACAGAACTTGCATGGACATGACGCTGGTCCAACACCACATTTCCCAAGCAGGACAAGCTCCTTATTTCTCCTCCACCGCCGTTTTGAGGATGGATGTCTGCGTTTATAATGCTGACCCCCCGTCTTGGCTGTATCTTGGCGTTTTGGGGGTTTTTTGGGCTGTATCTTGGTGTTTTGGAGGGTTTTAGGGACACAAGATGCTGGTGGTGTCCTGCCCGTTGACTTCCTAGTAGGGATGGACTTGGGCAGCGGCAACCCACAACCCAAACTGGGGAACGTGCTCACGGCTTGTTTTCCCCCCGCCAGAACCAGGATTTCCCATTCCCAAACCTTGGCCAGGTCAAGAGGAGGAGGCTGCGAGGAAGAGGAGATGCTACGAGATACCCAGGCAGGTGAGGAGGAATTCACTCGACCTTTCATCCTCTCTTCAACTCCACCTTCCAGCCGAGCATCGCTTCTGGCTGCAGGACAACCCCGTTGCTGACGCCGTCCTCCCGGAGGCGGATCTAGGAGGATCTCCTTCCCCTTCCCTCTGGCACGGATGCAAATCCTCTTCCTCTCCTTGTTCCTTCCTTCGGCAGGCGATGAGATGGGGATGGCGAACACGGAGGAGAAACCCCACCGGCAGAACCTTGCGGGAGAGGCTGTTTTGAAGGGCTCTGTGGAGCAGGTCAACAGGGGGGCAAAGCCAAGAAGATGCTCCACGGCGCAAGAGGTCAACAAAGAGGAAAAGCCAAGAAGATGCTCCATGGGGCAGGAGGTCAACGGGGAGGAAAAGCCAAGAAGATGCTCCACGGGGCAGGAGGTCAATAGGGGGGAAAAGCCAAGAAGATGCTCCACAGGGAGAAGTTGCAAAGCCACCCCACGAAGCTCAGAGGAGGAGAGACCGACCATCTGTGAGGAATGCGGTCGGAGCTTCAGCCGTAGCTCGAACCTGGCGGTGCACCAGCGGTTGCACGCCGGCGAGAAGCCCTACAAGTGCTTGGATTGCGGGAAAAGCTTCAGCCGTAGCTCCCACCTCATCACCCATCAACGTCTACACACCGGGGAGAAGCCCTACAAGTGTCCCGATTGCGGGAAGAGCTTCAGCGACAGCTCCACGCTCATCACCCACCAACGCTTACACACCGGTGAGAAGCCCTACAAATGCCCCGATTGCGGGAAGGGCTTCAACCAGAGCTCCAACCTCACGTCCCACCAACGCACCCACACCGGGGAGAGACCCTACAAGTGCCCCGAATGCGGCAAGAGCTTCAGCGTCAGCTCCTACCTGATCCGCCACCAGAAGATCCACACTGGGGAGAGACCCTATAAGTGCGAGGAGTGCGAGAAGACGTTCAGCCAGAGCTCCAGCCTCATCATCCATCAGCGTGTCCACACCGGGGAGAAGCCCTATAGATGCGTTGACTGCGGGAAGTGGTTTAGGAACAGCTCAGACCTCATCAGGCATCAACGGACGCATACGGGTGAGAGACCCTACCGCTGCCCCGACTGCGGGAAGAGCTTCAACCGCAGCTCCAACCTGATGACCCACCAACGCATCCACACCGGGGAGAAGCCCTACGAGTGTCCTGAGTGCGGGAGGAGCTTCACCGTGAGTTCCGCCTTGATTAAACACCAAAGGACCCACCGGGAAGGGAAGCCCTATGAGTGCCCCGACTGTGGGAAGAGCTTTATCCGCTGTTCGAACTTCATTACTCATCGGAGGACCCACGTTGGGTAGAGACGCGGTCACCCGTGTTGGGTAGAGACCTGGCTGGTGGTCCCCACATCTTCCTGGTTGCCCATAGGGACCGGGACAAATGCAGGTAGGAACATCCATTTACTGAGATGGGCTTAGCTGTGGGACGCAGACCAACGGTAGAAATTCATTAGGAGGCGTGGACTCGCTGGCTTTAGACTCCAAAAAGTCACATCCGCTCGGTCCAGTAATTTCTTCTGGTGGCATCAAGCAACACGGGCCACGGGCTTCTTCCACAGCCAAACGGTGGATGGATTTGGGCACAGACCAGGATTTTGAAGACGTTGGTTGGGATTCAGCTTCTTCGGGAAGGAAGAAATGGGGTGGAAATGGTCCCACAACCCTGTTGGGATGCACCAGGCTGAGTTCTTCCTCACTTACAGGTTGGTTTGCTTGGTTTTTTTACGTGATGTTATGCAGTGTCATCGTGCAACCTCTGTCCCGCCCATCTACGGTTCATCTTCGGGTGAATAAACTCTTGAGTTGTTCAAAGAGGCTCCTGCAACACCTTAGGGATGGAGATGGGCACAGCCCAACTCTGCGTCCCGCTCTTGCTCCCTTTCTGCTGCCAAAAATAAGCAAGAACTCGGCTGCGATAAACGTTTCCTCCACCCACCTCCTCGGTACGGCCTCGTTGAACCCAAAATACTTCGTTTTCATCCGGGCTGGGGCTTGGCCATCCCTAGGGTTGAATTTTCCCAACGGTGCTGCGAGGATGGGAGTGGTGGGACAGCTCCATGGATGGGTGGAGGGTGAGGAGGACACGTGAGCTTGCGGTGTCCATGCTTTGGAAGGGTGCTGCACCGCTATGACGTGACCATCGGCGCCAAATAAGCCTCATCTGTGGTTTGGTTTGAACCCTCGTCCTTGTTCAGGGGAAACGGAGAGGGATGGAGAGCCCGATCCCAGCTCCAGGGTCTCCAGCCCAGCCCCACCCCCCCTGTAGCCGCTTCCTGGGCGGGTTTCACACCCTCTGGATGCAGAAGATGCTCCCGGCCCTCCAAAATCAGGGAATTTTCTCAGTTTTCCCCTCCAAAAAAGGGTCTTCCACCCACACAGCCCCCGCTTCGTCACCACCACACAGATACTCGCACAATGCCAACACACAAATTGCTTTTATTTTGGCTGTGATTTTCCGTTCCCATCCCGTAAAAAGACCGTAAATAGGGTTGAAAAAATAAAGAAATTGAACTGAGACATCCAGAAAAAAACCCATTTTACTGCGATTTCTTTTTTCTTGGCTGAAGCTTATGGGTCTCCCCTCCCTCCCTTCCCCTCATCTATAATCGAAGGCGAAAAAGCAGAGGGTGGGCTGTCTTTTTTTAAAACCATCCCCCCCAGCAAACC